GAGGTATCAGTAAAAATGATGGTTTTATTTCTTTGCATCCCCTAAAGATGGGAATCTAAGTATGTATTTCAATAAATTTAATTTTCATGATGTTTTATTTGCCCTTAAAATATTACCTACTTTGGGGTGTTTCATTGAAGTACGTAGCTCTGACCTCTGTCACAATACTGACAAAATAAGGACTACTAATTTTCAACTTCTATCATGTGATTTTAAATACCTGAGAATGTCAAGGACTAATATGGTTTTATAAGAAGAAGAAAACACAAACTAAAGATGGCCACAGTGGTCATCTGACCAGATTGGGGTTTTATGAGCTTTGCTCAATGTGAAATAAACGGAGACCATCTGAGCATAAGTTAACATTTTATCCAAAGACACTGAAACTATTCGGGTTAAAGAAACACTCTTTCTATTTTTCATTTGCACCATTCTGTAAGCTTCGCACACTATGGTGAAAGTCGCCTGCAAATTATCCAGCTTGAACAACTGCGACACCAGATGCGGCATACACGAGTGAACTGTATTTCGGGGAAGTAGGAGCAAACTACTGCAGATGCTGGAATCAGTGCTGAAAACAACAAATGCTGGAGATCACAGTGGATCAGGCAGCATCTGCAGAGAGAGACCAAGTTAACATAATTCATGTTAAATTCATAAAGTTTTTCATGGTTTTTCTTCTGCATCTACTGCCTATTTGGGGTTTTAATTTCAGAAACACTTCTTTTTGACACGTGTCACATGTCAAAAATGCAGCTTTTATGTTGATTGTCGCATAGTCCCATGAATACGTGACCAAAAGAGCTAAAAACGTGTTTAAGATTATTTTTCCAGCTGTGGAAGAATCTATTCTATTAAGTCTGTATCAAACAGTCATTTTTCAAAATATCTAGCAAACAGTGTCTCTTTTGCATTATGAGTACCATTTGCATGGACTTTCCCACTACAAATCTACTTGTGTGGCAAAGCTCATCCTTAGAATAAACTTTCTATTCCGTTTAACCATCCTATTCCCTTTGATTTGCCTCTTTTGTCAGTTTATCCCTAAGTTTATTGATTGATAGCCACTAAAACTTAACACTCATGATGTCTTCTGCTCTAGTTGTTTTCAATATTTGTTCATGGGAAATGGCCGTCTTTGGCTAGGCCAGCAGTTATTGCCCACACCTAATTGCCTTTAAGCAGTTGCAACCTGCATTGAACCACTGCAGACCTTGGTGAGTAAGTATAGCCACAGTGCTGTTAGGAAAGCATGTGGCTTGGACGGGAACTTGCTGCTGATGTTCCTATTCTTTTCCAACCTTCTGGATGATAGAGGTCAAGTGTTTAGAAAGTTCTGTTTAAGGAGTTTTTCTGAGTTACTTCAGTGCAGCTTGTAGATGACCGTGACTGAAAGGAATGGGGCACCTATGGAGTGAGCTGCTTTGTCCTGGATGGTGTCAAGTTTCTTAAGTATTGTTGGAGTTGAACGCGTCCAGGCAAGTAGGGAGTGTTCCATCACACTCCTGCCTTTTAGGTGATGGACAGGATTTGTGGACACTGAGATGAATTAGTTACCTCTGAGTTACAAGATTTGTTTTCTGTTTTTTTTATATTATTATCTGTTCAAGCTACAACATCTATTTCCCCTTTTGTGTTGTTAGTGACTTCTACTCCATATTTATCCATGTTGCATGATCAGAGATTCTTTCTGTCACGCATAAGTATTTTCCAATGCAAGAACCACTTCTGAACTCACAATCAATGTTTACATTCTGCTTTCTTACTTTTCACTTTTTTACCTCATTTTATCAGTTCATAGACATTGTTTATTGGCCATCATTTCTGAACTTTCAACCAATATTTATATTTGTTATGAGCGTTTCTTGCACATCTGATAATGACTTCATCCCATACAAGCTCGAACGAGTGAGGGAGAACCCAAGTGTGCAGCACTAAAAAGAGAGGACGTGAGTACCCTGACAAGGCCTTAGTTTCACCTCTCTGGGGATTCTACACAATGTGAAAGTCTTCAGAGTTGAACCAGCAGAGAGACTCAGGAAAATTCCCTGATTGATGTTTAACCAGTGAGGAGAAGGGAAATGATATGCCAAATGAAAGTGATGGGTATTTAGAGCACCTGGTTAGGGTAAAACTGGGGAGTACCTATTGATCAGCAGCTTTCAATGGTCCAGAACTGCACCAGCAGCTAAGGTCTGAGAAAGGTTCAAGGCATTGAAAAATCATAAAACCATTAGGTGCCAGACAAATACAGAGAGTCTGGGATGAAATTCATAAATTAATTTAATCTTACTGAGCATCTAATGCTATCTGATGCAGGTTTTTGATGCAATTTACATTATCATTTATAAAGCATGACCAATGAACGCCTACCATTATCATAGGCTGAGCCACATTTCCAGCCTGGAAACCAAAAGTTAATTGAGAATGTCTGGGTTAATGAATAATAAATGGGCGAACAGATTGTGTGTGTTTTGATTCACTGTTTGGCACGATTAATGGATTTTAAGAGATTTTTGGTGTTCTGAGGCCAGACTTTCAAACTGTGTGCATCCTTTCTGCTCTATTTGTATTTTATCTACTCCCCTGAAAGTGTAGGCTCATGTGTCAGGAAAGAGGAGTTAATAGTTCAATGTGTGAGCAGTGTTAGAGTACTCTAGATTGCCACTGGTCCTTTTCCATAGTTGACTTAAATCTTATGGTACCATGTTCACAACCATCAAATATTTCCCTTCTGATATTTGACCTACTTAACCTGTCTCATTCCCTAGAATCGATTCAACATTATCTGAAATTAAACAAAGAACTGCGGATGCTAGAAATTTGAAACAAAATAGAAATAGCAGGAGAAACTCAGAAGGTCTGGCAGCATTTGTAGAGATATAGCAGAGTTAACGTTTCAAGTCCAGTGACCTTTCTTCAATTCTCCACAGATGCTGCCAGACCTGCTGAGTTTCTCCAGCTATTTCTGTTTTGTGCCAATAATACCTGCTTCCTCATTGGGTCAGAAACATATTGGTCGAAACCATTTTCATCTATTTACCATGTAGGAACAACCAACATAGGTAGAGGTAGTAGGAACTGCCAATGCTGGAGTCTGAGATAATAAGGCATGGAGCTGGATGAACACAGCAGGCCAGGCAGCGTCAGAGGAGCAGGAAAGCTGATGTTTTGGGTCTGGACCCTTCTTCAGAAATGGGGGAGGGGAAGGGGGCTTTGAAATAAATAGAGAGAGGGGGAGGCAATGATAGAAGGTGGATAGAAGAGCAGATAGGTGGAGAGAAGACGGAAAGGTCAAGGAGGTGGGAATGAAGCCAGTAAAGGTGCGTGTAGGTAGGGAGTTGGGATGGGGGTTGGTCTGTGAGATGGGAGGGGCAGGTAGGTGGGAGGGAAGACAGACAGGTCAAGGAGGCGGGGATGAGGCTAGTAGAGGTGAGGCGAGTGTAGATAGGAAGTGGGGGTGAAGGTTGGTCAGTGAGGTTGGAGGAGCAGATAGGTGGGAGAAAAGATGGACAGGTCAAGGAGGTGGGGACGAGATGGGGGGCTGGTCTTGGGATGAGGTCGGGGATGGGGAGATTTTGAAGCTTGTAAAGTCCACATTGAGATCATTGGGTTGTAGGTTTCCCAGGCGGAATATGAGGTGCTGTTCCTTCAGTTTTCGGGTGGCATCATTGTAGCACTGGAGGAGGCCCAGGATGGACATGTCGTCCAAGGAGTGGGAGGGGGAGTTGAAGTGGTTCGCGACTGGGAGGTGTTGTCGTTTGTCTTGAACCGAGCATAGGTGCTCCACAAAGCGGTCTCCAAGCCTCCGCTTGGTTTCCCCGATGTAGAGGAGGCCATTATCGGGAACAGCGGATACAATATACCACATTAGCGGAAAAGCAAGTGAACATCTGTTTAATGTGGAAGGTTTTCTTGGGGCCTGGGATGGAGGTGAGGGGGGAGGTGTAAGGGCAGGTGTAGCACCTCCTGCGGTTGCAGGGAAAGGTGCCGCAGGTGGTGGGGGTAGTGGGGAGTGTGGAGCGGACGAGGGAGTCGCAGAGAGAGCGGTCCCTCCGGAAGGCAGATAAGGGTAGGGAGGGAAATATATCTTTGGTAGTAGGGTCGGATTGCAGGTGGCGGAAGTGGCGGAGAATGATGCATTGAATCCGGAGGTTGATGGGGTGATATGTGAGGACGAGGGGAATTCTGTCTTTGTTGTTATTGTGGGGAGGGGGTATGAGGGCTGAGGTGCAGGAAACGCAAGAGATGCGGTCGAGGGTGTTTTTGAACACTGTGGGGAGGGGGTGGGGGAAATTGCAGTCCTTGAAAAACGAGGACATCTGGGATGTCTGGGATAGGTAGAACAAGGAATGATACTCTGTTGAGAGTGTTTGAGGAATTCAGGCTGAATTTGAATGCAGAACCTCCAAAGGTAATAGTCACTGGATTATAATTGAGCCACGTGTCAATTGGCATAAAGTCAGGCTTATTAGAGAATTAAATAAGTGTTGTAGGAAGTAGTGGGTTTCAGATGGTGTGACATTGGCACCTGTACCAGGAAAGATGGAGTATTGCCATTGGGATGGACTCCACTTAACAGGTGGGATCAGTGTCTTGGTGAATAACCCATCCTTCCCTCACTGATAAAAAAAAAATCTGTCTGTCTCAGCCTTGAATATGTTTAACAACCTAGACTTGACAGCCCTCTATGGTAAAAAAAAAATTCCCCAGACTCATTACACTCAGAGAAGAAATTCCTCATCATCTGTCTTAAATGTGTGAGATTATATGCCCTGTTCCTGGACTTTTCCACCAGGCAAGCAATCTTTCTGCATCTACCCTGTCAAGTTCCCTAAAAATCATATATGCTTCAGTAAGGTCACCTCTAATTCCTCCTAGATGGCGGCAGCAGAGTAGGCAGCAACCAGGCTTCTGTGCCTGGGCTTGTCCTCTTTGTCTGCTTTTTTTTCTTTTTCTTATTCCATTTTTCCCCATCTTCTTTTCTCAATTTTATTTAGTTTTCGCTCAAACTTCCCTGATAAAGGGAACTCTTCTGTAGGAAGGCGGCATTGATGGGCTCTGGAGCAGTAGCGACATCTTCAGAGGCAGCGTGGCTACAGATTCGGCCAGCTTGTGAAGCTTGGAACGGGACTTTCACTTCCATGTGGAGTGGGCCTCTGGAAGCGGCATGACATGGGCTGGTGAAGCTCTGAGCGAGACTCTGGCGGCTGCGTGGCATGAGCTGGGAAGCCTGGAGTGGGATTGTAGCAGTGGAAAAGGAAATGTTGGACTCTCTTTAAGTTATCTTTCTTTGCTTTTTGTTTTATTTTAAGTTAATGTGAATGGAGCCATTGCATGGCAATGGTACACACTTTTCACTGTATTTTATATTAAATGCCCATGACAATAAATGATTCAATTCAATTCAATTCTTCTAAATTCCAATGATCACAGGTCCAATCTATTCAACCCGTCCTCTAGTATTAGCCTAGTGAACTTTCTCTGGTCTGCCTCCAACGCCAGCATATCTTTCCTTAGATAATAGATCCAACAGTGTTCAGAGTATTCCAGCTGTGGTCTGACTAGTGTCTTGTATAGTTTTACCAAAACTTCCCTACTTTTATCCTAAATTCAGTTGAAATAAAGGCTGACATTCCATTTGTCTTTCCTCTTCCCCACTAAACTTGGATGTCCTTTGGTCACTTCTTTGTGGTTTGTGCATGAGGACTCCCAAATCCCCTGTACTTTAGCTTTCTCTAGTCTTTCTCCACACAAATAATATTCAGTTTCTCTATTCTTCCAGCCAAAGTGCATAACTTCACATTTTTCTGTATTATATTCCATCTGGTAAGTTTTTGCTCACTTGCTTAACCTGTCTATGATTAGATTCTTTGTGTCATCCTTACAACTTCCATTAGAGTCATAGAGACCTACATCATAGAAATAAGCCTTTCGGCCCACTTTGTCTATGCTGACCAACAGACACCAAACTACACTAATCCCCTTTACCAGTACTTGGTCCATAGCCTACTATGTCCTGGCATTTTAAGTGCTCATCCAGATGCTTCTCAAATGTTTGAGAGTACCTGTCTCCACCACCCTCAGGAACAAAAACAAAGTTGCTGGAAAAGCTCAGCAGGTCTGTGAAGGAGAAAACAGAGTTAATGTTTCGGGTCTGGTGACCCTTCTTCAGAATACCACCCTCAGGCTGTGCCTTCCATATTTCTGCTTCTGAAAAAAAAAATTCTCAGACCTACTCTAATCCACTTACTCCTCACCTTAACCTTGTGCCCTCTGCTCTTCAACACCTATGCCATGGGGAAAAGATTCTTATAACCTACCCTGTCTGTGCGTCTCATAATATTGTATATCTCAATCAAATACCCCCTCAGCCTTCTGTCTTCCAGGAAAAACAAACTCAACACATCCAGTCTTGCCTCATAACTGAGACTTTTCATCCCAGCATCCTGGTGATTCTCCCCTGCACCATCTCCATTGCAATCATGTCCTTCTGTAAGTGTGGCAACCAGGACTGCACACGGTTAGTCCACAGATGGAATACTAACATTTTATAAAGTTGTAACAAGACTTCCTTGCTCCTATCTTCTATACCCGGTTAATGAAGGCAAGCATCCTGTATGCCTTTTTCACTATACCTGAGCTGACATCTTCAGGGATCTATGGACTTGTACACCAAGGTCCCTTTGTTCCTCAGTACCCTAGGAACCTACCATTCATTGTGTATGTCCTTCCCGTATTAGACCTCCCAAAATGCATCATCTCCACTTATCAGGATTAAATTCCATCTGCCATTGCTCTGCTCAGTTTACCAATTGATCAATATCAGAATGCAGTCCGAGACCATCCTCCTCAGTATCAACTATGCCATCAATTTTCATATCATCTGCAAACTTATTAATTGTATCTTCTACCTTCACATTCAAATTGTTAAAGTACAAAACAAGTAGCAAGGGTCCCAGCACCTCTCCCTTTGGTACATCACTGGTCACTAGCTTCACAAAAACATCTTACCACTATTGCCTCCTATTTGTAAGCCAATTTTGGATCTAATTTGCCAACTTGCCTTGGATCCTATGGGTGCTTAGCTTCTGGACCAGCCTTCCATGTGGGATTGACAAAGGCCTTACGTGCATGTAAACCACATCAACTGTACTTTCCAAAAAACTCTATTAAATTAGTCAGACAGAATCTCCCTCACAAATTTGTGCTAACTATCCCTGATCAATCCCTGCTTTTCCAAGTGTTGATTAATCCTGACCCTCTGCAATAATTTCCCTACCACTGACATCAGACTAATTAGTCTGTAATTGCCTGGCCGATCTCTGCTGCCCAACTGAACAAAGGAACCACCGGCATGGTGGCACAGTGGTTGGCACTGCTGCCTCAGAGCACCAGGGACTGTTCTCCCTGTGTCTGCATGGGCTTCCGCCAGGTGCTTTGGTTTCCTCCCACAGTTCAGAAATGTGCAGGTTAGGTGGATTGGTCATGCTAAATTGCCCATAGTGACCAGGGATGCGTCGGCTAGGTGGATTAGTTATGATAAATGCGGGGATATGGGGGTTGGTCTGGGCGGGATGCTGTTCAGTGAGTACTGGAGGGATTCTACGATATTAGCTATCCTTCAGTCATCTGGCACTTCACCTGTGGCCAGTGAAGTATAAAGTATCCCTACCAGGGCCCTAGCAGTCTCCTTCCTTGCCACCATAGCAGCTTGGGATAGATCTCATTAGGTCTTGGGATTTATGCATCTTTATGCTCACTAAAATATCTAATACCTCCTTATTAATCTTAACGTGTTCTAGAATCTCATCATCCCAACTGAAATCTCCAAATACAATGTCTTTCTCCTTTGTGAACACACATGAGAAATATTCATTTAAGATCTTACCCACATCTTCTGGCTCCATGCACAGATTGCAACTTTGATCTCTAATAGGCCCCACTCTTTCTACCATTCCTTCTATATTTGATTGGGCCTTGCTTCTGACTTTACATCTACTCTGTGTCCCATCCCTCTGACAAATTAGTTTAAACCTTCCCAACAGCACAAGCAAATCTCCCAGTAAGGATATTGGACCCATTCCAGTTTAGATGCAACCTGTTCAGATTATACAGGTCCTACCTACCTCAGAAGTTGTCGCGATGATCCAAAAATCTAAAGTCCTCTCTCCTACTCAATCCCTTTAGCCACACATTCATCTGACCTATAACTCAGTAGCACGTAGCACTTGAAGCAATCTGGACATTACAATCTTAGCAGAATTCCTCTTTAATCTACTGCTTAATACTCTAAATTCCTGTTGCAGGACTTCATTTTTTTCAACCCATGTCATTGGTACCAATATGTACCATGACTACTGGCTGTTCACCCTCCTCCTTCAGAATGCCCTGCAGCCGCACTGAGACATCCCTGACCCTGGCACCAAGGAGGCACCATACCATTTAAGAGACACAAGTCTCCCTTACAATCGAGTCCACTATCATTAAACCACTCCCAGTCTTTTTCCTTGCCTGCTGTGCAGCAGAGCCAACCATGGTGCCACAATCTTGGTTGTTGCTACTTTCCTCTGACAACAGTATCTAACATGGCATACCTATTTGAGAGGGATCTGGTCAGAGAGTGTACTGCACTATGTGCCCACACTTACTTGTCTTCCTGGTGGTCACCAGATGCTTTTCTACCTGTGTAGCTCCTCCTTGTGGTGTGTCCAGCTCACTAAACTTGCTATCCATGATGTCTTCAGCATTAAGTATGCTCTGTGGAGAGTCCATCCACAGCTCCAGTTGCTCCATGCAGTCAATCAAGAGCTGCTGCTGAATACAATTCCCGGATACGTGGCCACCCTGAACACTGAAAGTGTCCCCAGTTTCCCACATATTGCAGGAGGAGCATTCCATGGGACCAAGTTCTCCTGCCTCTGTGGACCTGACAAATTACAAACAATAAACAATAAATTAGTGACAAATTATTCAGCCTTACCTACTACTTACCAAATCAGATTTCTCTCTCTGTTTCTCCTCCTGCCTACTCCCCCCCACCATTCCTAACAAACTACAAATCACAATAATAAGGACTTTGCAATCTGTCTCCCTCTTGGTACTACTCTCTCAGTCCCTAAAGTTTCTAAGCAGTCAATCCTCTTGCCCTGCATCACGCTTTGAACCCTAATGTCAATATAGGTCCTCTGCCTCTGGATTCAGTGGAGGTTCGCTCCTGTCTTCTGTTGCTGCTCCGATTGAGCTCGATCTGTTCCTTTCTTGCTGCTGCTCCAACTAAGCTCAATCCACTCCACTCCTGCTGCTGCTCCTTTCCACCTAATTTTGTGTCGTCTGCAAACTTGCCATAGTCCATTCACTTTCCTTATCTAAGTCTTGATGTATCCAAAGACAGGCTCCATGACCGCACTGCAAACACAGACTCCATGACGGTGGCCCAAACACAGACTCCACAATTGTACTCCAAACACAGGCTCCACAACTGCAGCCCAAACAGAAGCCTCACAATAGCATTCCAAATATGAGCTCCCTGACAAAAGGACATAATGTAAACACTGCCTGCAATGCTCCAAATATCAATGTCTTCACTGTACTACTGAATATAGAGTTCTCTATTGCATTTCATAGTATAAACAGTGGCTACTCGAGTTAGAAATACCTTTTACCATACTCCCCAATGTTTAAATTTCTGGTTATGCTTTAAATAGAAACACCCCAACTACCTTACCTCACATAGATACTGTTGCCTACATTGCATAATGTAAACATCCATACTACACTTTAAGTATAAATATCTCTCTGAGACCATACAATGTAGATTACACTCTGTTATGTAGATTTCCCTGAATATAATGCATGATATGGACACTCTGGTTTATATTCCTTGCTTTATCCCAGCTATACTGTAAGTGTAGATATTTTGGCTACATTCCATAAAGACTTGTCCCACAGTTAATTATCCAACTTCCCCTAATTACATACACTCCTTAATATAAACACACATTACACACACATGCCTGAGGAACTGATACCGTCATTGTTGCCTGAAAATCTGACCCTATGAGTGTATAGTTGAATAATAGAAGATTGTACATGGGGCACTGGCTTCATATCTCCACTATTGGAACAACTGCCTTTGTACTACATTGTAAAACCATAGGGTGCACAGAGTCACTTAACGGTGGTGTAGTTCAAAGGTTGAAAACACTTACCAGATGTAAAAACACATTTTATGATAAGATTGGTCCAAACAGTTTCTAGTTCAGACGAGTGCCACACCACAAGGCTACAAAGCATTTAAAATTAAAATCGGTGAGATGAAGAGATTGGTTAGTGGTAGAAATGGACAATTTATATTGTCGTTGAGGCCTGTATATTTTGTTGGGGCAGAATAGAGAGAATGTGACATTTTAAACATTTC